ACAAAGTCCTTGAAATTACTACAACCAACTTAAATCTAAACCTAGACTTGAAGCACCAGCTAACAAGTTATACAAACTTTGCTTTGATCTGCAGGCTGAGACTCCTTCCCTGTGGCGAACTTGATTTCTGTGAAAAAGAGAACACTTCAAACAACTTGTGCAATTTAAATCCTATGGAGGTTTGCATAAAACCAAAATTTGTAATCACGTCCCAAGGGAACAAGCCCCTTGAATTGTTTTCTGGCAAACATATTTCTCACCAGTGTTTCTAAGTTAAAAAAAAAAATCCACACATTGCAAGTTAAGTTTCTATTTAATACATTAAATCCAAGAACAGGCAAAACAAGCAATAGTGTGTGTCAGATCAGTGATTACTTCTGAAGGGAGGAGGAGACACAGGCTAGGAACAGGCATGAAAGAACCTGCTGGGTACTGCTGGAAACGTTCTAGATCTAGATCTTTCTGCATAGCTGGACAGACAGTATACACCTCGAGGATCACTGGGCTGTGCAATTATTGTCAGTACAATACATGCACACTATTGAAGTGCCTTATACCTCAATGTAAAAAGAAAAAATTACTCTATTAAATGACTTTCACAATGACCACCTCAGCAAATGGCTTAACACAGAAAAGGTCTGGGTTTAAGCAATTCCCAGAGGTCAGCACACCACTGTCCGCAGGCTATTTCCCTCTTGGTTATAAATAGGGCTTCACTGGAACACAGCCCAGCTACTTCCAGACTGCCGCCGCATGGCTGAGTGGCTGCCACAGGGACCACATGAACTCCAAACCCTAAGACACTCTGACCTATTAGAAAAAACTCTGCCAACATCTCACCTAAACTCTAATGTACCTAGCTGCTCCTTTTCAATGACAATTCAAAACAACTTGACCTAAGTAGCAAAAACAACAGGAGGAAGATTCCTAAGACAATTTAGTAAATTACTCAGATAACTAGAATCAAGAATTTCACAACACTCTTTATATAGGGGTGTCAGCATTCTTTTGCCTGAGTTGCACTGTGGGTTTATTTTAAGACGCTATCACAAACTGGCTGAGAGGACAATGAAATACTTCTTCCATTTGTGCCTACACAAGAAATAGGCTGGGAGTTTCTTAAGAATCCATTCTCTGTTATTTCTTACTGTTGTGCATGCTGAGTTGCAGCCTTAGGATTAAGCACTGGCCTCTAGGGAAAATGGTGGCAAATAATCAGAGAAATCTAAGGGCCAGAAGGGCCAAAATGGGCAATATTTAACTCGATGTTTACCCACATCAAGTTGCAGGGATCCCCTCATCTTCCAAGGCAGCCCAACTCAAATCTTGGAGCCACTGCTATGTTACAAAGCTTCTCCATATCACTTTGATAACTTCTTATGAGATTCGATTCAATTTCTTTTTTTTTTTTTATTTTTGATAGGCAGAGTGGACAGAGAGAGAGACAGAGAGAGAAAGGTCTTCCTTTGCCGTTGGTTCACCCTCCAATGGCCGGCGCTGCAGCCGGCGCACCGCGCTGATCCGATGGCAGGAGCCAGGATCCAGGTGCTTTTTCCTGGTCTCCCATGGGGTGCAGGGCCCAAGCACCTGGGCCATCCTCCACTGCACTCCCTGGCCATAGCAGAGGGCTGGCCTGGAAGAGAGGCAACCGGGACAGAATCCGGCGCCCCGACCGGGACTAGAACCCGGTGTGCCGGCGCCGCAAGGTGGAGGATTAGCCTATTGAGCCACGGCGCCGGCTTCGATTCAATTTCTAAAGATGAAGTAAAAACAAACAAACAAACAAACAAACAAAAAAAACCTTTTTACACTAAGAGTCAGCCTGCCCATACCTTGAGTGGATGTTTCATCCTCTTCAACTAGAAGGCTCTGCCATTACCTATGGAGCTCTTGAGATTCTCACCAAAAGTCTCCTTCCTTGGGGGCCAGAGCTGTGGCATAGTAGACTAAGCCTCTGCCTGTGGTACAAGCATCTCAAATGGGCACCAGTTCATGTCCCGGCTGCTGCTCTTCCCAACCAGCTCTCTGATAATGGCCTGGGAAAGTGGTGGGCCTCTGCACCCACATGGAAGGCTCATTAGAAGCTCATGGCTTCGGATCAGCCCAGCTCTGGTTGTTGCGCCCATTTGAAGGGTGAATCAGTGGATGGAAGACCTTTCTCTCTTTCTCTAACTTTGCCTCTCAATTAAAAAAAAAAAGTCTCCTATCTCAAGTGACAGAATATTCATTCCTTCAGCAAACACTCACTGAACACTCACCTTTAGCCAGATACTGTTCTAGATTCTAGAGGTACAACAGCAAAGTATGTTCTTATCCTGTGGAAACTACACTAAATTATTCTTAGTAATGTACCACAAATTATCATTATCATTATTGATGGGCAGACCATACTACCAATTTGGATGTTAAACTTAGCCCACTAATTTCTCCAATTATTTTTCATAATGAGATTTATTTATTTATCTAAAAGAGCTTGAGAAAGAGAGAAGCAAGATCTTCTTGGTTCACTCCCCAGATGGCCTCAATGACCAGGGCTGGACCAGGCCAAAGTCAGGAGCTTTTTCCTGGTCTCTCACATGAGTGTAAGGCCCCAGGCACATGCGTCATCTGCTGCTTTCCCCAGGCCATTAGCAGGGAGTTGGATCATGCAGTGGAGCAGCTGGGTCCCAAACCAGCGCCCATATGGGATGCTGGCACTGCAGTTGGCACCTTAACCTGCTGTGTCACAGTGCCACCCCCCCTAATTATTTCTTATACTCACTGATAAATGGATCCAAATTTTCTTTGGTCATCCTTGCTAAATACCATACTTCCACAATCTGCCCTCCTAACTTGGAAGAACTTCTGGAAAGTCAATTTCTTTTCCACCTTAACATACATCCTCTCTAACCCTTCCAGTTTCTTGTTATCTGAATCTGATAAACTTATCTCTGTGGAGTTATCCAAGTCAGTCAGGAAGATGTTGAATGAGGTGGTACTGAGGTCACTAAGAACGCTGTGACATAAGTGACCAGTGTTGACCCAGAAAGATATGGATCCATTGCTCAACGTTCCAAGGCTCCCTCCCTCAATGAGCTATGAGTCCTGAATTAGTTCTATGTCAAGTATCTTCCTAAATTTCAGATACAGAATCGTCACTAATCTTCCCCTAATCACTGTGTGGAAGGAGAATTTTTGAAAATGAGAATAGAGGAGTTTAAAAGGAAGGGCAATGGAGGGAGATCAGAACATTATACAGCTTCCAAAATAAACCAGAAATCTTCTTAAATAAAGGCTAGGTATACTTTAAGAAAGAAAATTAGTCCATGGGAAGGTAGAAATCATGCTATTGCTTACAAAAATAAATACTGTCTTTAAGACAGTTTGTCTAGCTGTATGAACTTTTATACATTACAGTTTTGCCCATGGTAGAGATGAACACACTCAGTAAAGGTAATACTTGGAAACTGTACTCAATTATTAAAGCCAAACAATTTTCTTTTCAACCCAAAGTTTTTGCCTCTTACATAACACTGGCAGTTATTAAGAAGTGAAAATGTGCTTGAATTTCTCTAGTATATTTGGACTTTATAAAGCACAAAGTTCACATTGGGGAGTAGTTTGAAATCATAATTTAAAATGCTAATATATGTGAATAAGGAATAAAGTATGACACACAAATTAACATTCAGCCCTTGGAACTGAAATACAAACAAAAAGACAATTCATGAATATGATAATGACTGTTCTCTGGCACATAATCTCAAAGTACTTTATGCATTTTAAGTGAACTTTTAATTTTAAGCCAACTTCCAGAGTATCATCTTTAAGTTTTAGAATTCTTATCCAGCGGAAGTAATTATGCAGACACATTCTGGAATTTCTAACAACTTGGCAAAAGCTACATTTTAGCCTAACAACAATGCAAAGAAGTTTATGTGAGGCATGTATCGTTAATGATATAAACACTCTAGATCTATTTATATAACTTGAGAAGTGTTGTTATATGCTACTTAAAAACAATTTTAGGTATCAAGGCGAGTATTTATTCTCCATGCCTTTTTAGTTTAGTAGATAGCAGATCTAGATTGAAAGTGAAAAGTGAGATTTATTGTAAACTATTCTAGATTTGTTGCTCTTTACTAAACTCCCAAATTACCTGGAAAAAAAAAGTCTTTAAAAAAAGAAAAAAAAGGCCAGCTACAACATTTTATTTCAGTGCTAAGTTAATGAAGCATATGGTGCACATGAAAGCCAAGAGGCTTTTACTTCATTCAGTGAAGGTTTCTTACATACAAGTACTTACCAGGAGTAAACATCTACCCTACTGTGCTATGCTCCATCTACTACACAGTGCTCCCCCTTATCCACAGTCTTGCCATCTGCAGTTCCACTTAGTAGTCAACCAGCATTATCCAGACCCAGTGATCCTCCTCCTGGCACAGTCAGGTCAGGCTAGTAGCCTAATCACAATGCTGATGTCATTCACTTCACCTCATCACACAGATATTCTATCATTTTCACCATCACAAGGAGAAGGTTTCCATACAGTGTAAGAAGATATTTTAGAAATGAATCTTAATGAAGAATGGGATGGGAGAGGGAGGAGGAGGTGGGATGGGAATGGGGGTATGGGGATGGAAGGGTGGGTATAGGGGTAAGAACCACTATACTCCTAAAGTTGTACTAATGAAATTTGTATCCATTAAATAAAAGCTTTAAAAAAAAAAAAGATTTTAGAGAGCCCACATTCATATAACTTTTATGACAGAATACTGTTATAATTGTATTGGTAATTCCTTATCATGCCCAGCTTATCATAGGAAAGTATGCAAAGGAGAAAATATAGCAAATATAGGATTCAGTTTTCCCAGATTCAGGTATCCACTGGGGTTTTCAGAACATATCCCCCACAAATAAGGGAGGACAACTAAATCATTTTTTTGTTCTTTAGACTTACGCTTTTGAGAAATGGAGAAGGTTAACCTTCAGGGCAATTTCTGTCATTCCAAACTGCTTACCTGAATATACTTCCGCTGAGTTTCATCATTTAAAACATGTGCAACATGCTTGGAAAAAATCTTTTCCCTGCCAGTTCTAGCATGGATCCCAACCATAGTGACACCAATAGGCCAAGGTGCATTCCCAATGGCCATCTGGAGATAAGCATCATTTGCCTGAAAGGAAAGTTTGAGAGATCAGAAAGGTTAAAAAAATATTCTGTTGGTTCAAGTTTTTTTTTTCACTTCAAGTATTTCACAGCCTTTATGACATAATTTTCATCCACCTCTGGGGCACACTCAGAGTACTACCATTCCTGTTACTCAATAAAAGATTAAAATGTGGAATGACTGACTGCCCTGCCCAGGAACACAACCGTCCATGGAAACACAGAAACCAAAGCTACGGCTGTGAGTAGAAAGACAAACATTCCTTTGCAGCCTTTGTGCCCTGGGAATTAATACACTGCAAACCTGGAATTAGCAGGCAGGTAACTTGATGCACTGACAGAAACTTGAGCTGGGGTCTCCTACAGATTCAGCCTTCTCCACAGGTGGTCAGACAGAGGCTAACTCATTTTTCATCGTCCAACCTGAAACGATACCCACTCTCTGCACAGCACTACAGATCTGGAAGCAGTGGGGGCGCCTATGCTGGATGACCACATAGGGTCTGTAACAGATGTGTAAACAGAGATGAATCGCTGGCCCTCAAGTCAAATAGCTAAACGATGAGATCGCCTCCCTTTGGTCCTCCCGGAGCCTCCTACCTGCCAAGAATTTTAATACAAAAGCTACAAAAAGTGAAGAAAGAAACCAATGAAGACAAATGGCTCCTTTCTCTAAATCAAGTCTGGTTAGAGGAGACAAACAGCGAGTAAATCATAAAAGATTCTGAAGGTTTCAGAAATACTTATATAGCTAGGCCTCAAGGAGATTTTAATCTTAGAAATTAAACACTCAGGGCCGGCACTGTGGTGCAACGGGTTAAAGCCCTGGCCTGAAACACCGGCATCACATATAGGTGCCGGTTCTAGTCCCGGCTGCTCCTCTTCCTATCCAGCTCTCTGCTATGGCCTGAGATAGCAGTGGAAGATGGCTCCAAGTCCTTGGGCCCCTGCACCCGCATGGGAGACCTGGAAGAAGCTCCTGGCTCCTGGCTTCGGATTGGCGCAGCTTAAGCTGTTGCAGCCATCTGGGGATTGAACCAGCGGATGGAAGACCTCTCTGTCTCTCCCCCTCTCTCTGTAACTCTTTCAAATAAATAAAATAAATCTTTAAAAAAAAAGAAATTAAACACATATGTGACAGAGTTGATTAAAAAAAAATACAGGGGCCAGAGCTGTGGCGTAACATGTAAAGCTGCTGCCTATGGTGCCAGCATACCATATGGGCACCGGTTTGAGTCCCGGCTGCTCCACTTCCAATCCAGCTCTCAGCTATGGCCTTGGAAAGCAGCGGAAGACGGCTCAAGTACTTGGGCCCCTGCACCCACTAACCCCTGTGAGAGATCCAGAAGAAGCTCCTGGCTCCTGATTTTGGATTGGCTGAGCTCTGGCCGTTATGGCCATTTGGGGATTGAACCAGCAGATGGAAGACTCTCTCTGCCTCTGCCTCTCTATAACTCTTTCAAGTAAATAATAAATCTTTAAAAGAAAAAATCCAAGGGCTGGCATTTGGTGTAGCAGTTAAGTCACTACTTCAGACACGGTACCCCATATTGGAGTGACTAGGTTTGAGTCTCAGCTCTATTTCTGACTCCAGATTCCTGCTAATGTGCACCTTGAGAGGTAGTAGATGAGTGCTCAAGCAAGTACTTTGGTTCCTGCAACCCTCCTTGGGAGACACCCAGATGCAGTTCCTCACTCTTCTTGCTCCAGCCTGGCCCTGTAATGGCAGTTACAGGAATCCAGGAAATGAACCAGCTGTTAAAAGATCTCTATTTTATTTCATTTTATTTATTTACTTTTTTATTTGACAGGTAGAGTTACAGACAGTGAGAGAGAGACAGAGACAGAGACAGAGACAGAGAGAAAGGTCTTCCTTCTGCTGGTTCACTCCCCAAATGGTCACTACAGCCGGCGCTGCGCCGATCCGAAGCCAGGAGCCAGGTGCTTCTTCCTGGTCTCCCATGCGGGTGCAGGGCCCAAGCACTTGGGCCATCCTCCACTGCCACAGCAGAGAGCTGGACTGGAAGAGGAGCAACTGGGACTAGAACCCAGCACCCATATGGGATGCCAGAGCCACAGGCAGAGGATTAACCAAGTGAGCCTCGGCACCGGCCCTGAAGATATCTCTCTCTCACTCCCATTGCCTTTTAAATAAAATGAAAATAAATGTAGTTTTTTAGCCGGCGCTGCGGCTCACTAGGCTAATCCTCCGCCTTGCGGCGCCGGCACACTAGGTTCTAGTCCCGGTCGGGGCACCGGATTCTGTCCCGGTTGCCCCTCTTCCAGGCCAGCTCTCTGTGTGGCCAGGGAGTGCAGTGGAGGATGGCCCAAGTCCTTGGGCCCTGCATTCCATGGGAGACCAGGAGAAGCACCTGGCTCCTGCCTTCGGATCGGCACAGTGCGCCGGCCACAGTGCGCCAGCCGCGGTGGCCACTGGAGGGTGAACCAACGGCAAAGGAAGACCTTTCTCTCTCTCTCTCACTGTCTACTCTGCCTGTAAAAAAAAAAAAAAAGTAGTTTTTAAAAAATCCAGTAGAGTTGTACCTCAATATCTCTGGGCAACTGGCTACAGGTACCCCAAAGGATATCAAAATCTGTGAACACTCAAATCACTTACATAAAATGGTATAGTATTTGCATATATAATCTATGCACAATCCTCCCATATATTATAAATCATTTCTAGATTAGTTACAATACCTAACACAACATAAATGCTATGCTGGTAGCTGTCCTAGTACATTGTTGAGGAAATGATGACAAGCAAAAAATATCCCTACATGATCAGTACAGGTCCCAATTCTTCTTTTCTCCAGTTTGAATCCATGGCTGACTGAGTGCACAGATGCAGAACCCACAGACACAGAAGGCCAACCGCACTGCAAATGGGCTACCTGGATGATAATTTCTTACCTAAAGATAAATCTGAACTTGCTCTGCTCAACAGATTTTATAAAATTTAATTTTAAAAGAGCACATGCATATTTTTTATCAGATTCTCAAGTGTGTAAATTTTAACACTGAGCCTCAACAGACATCAGTATTTACTTTCCTCCAAATTCCAAAAACAACTAAAGTTTCTTGGTTTCTGTAGTTTATCGATGGAAAAAAAAAAAAAAAAAAAAAGAAAGGAAAACCTTTCACCTAGTTCTAATAGTATATGATCATAAGAAAAATAATATGGAACAAATAGCCACTCTAGCTACCAGTTAATATGAATTCTTTCTGCATTGACAGTGCCCTTAACCAATCATTCCAATGCAATCATCCTTATAAAGACTCATGCAACAGAGAGAAACTAAGAATGAAATTTGTAACCACAAAACAATGATATCTGAGAAAACTAACAGGCTCTTACAAGGCAGAGCAGTCTTCCCCTGCAAGGGGTCTGCTATTGTTGCAGTACTGAAATGACAGTGATGCTTCTGAGGCCTTACTTGGACTATTTTCCCAAACAAACAATGGTACAGAGTGGTTAAATGCCATAGTATCATCAGTGTAACAGTTCCATGATATTATGGCAGGCCTGGGAAACTAACTTATGCAATACTGTTTCCATGGGAAAATTTGTTCCAAATCATGATCAACCATTTACAAACTTAGATTCAAACCAATTCACAAAATGAACCTGGCCCATACTCAGCTCATGCAGTCCAGCATCTTTAGAATTACTTCAAAAATGACTAAGCAAATGTTGTGGTCTTAAAAATTATAATAAACAGAAAAATAAAACCTGGCTGCTGTTGTTTTACTAAATGTTTACTACGTAGAAACCCCCTATCCCAAATTAATATATTATGCACACAACCTAGATTGGATCATAATTTCAGCATAGAGCATAGTGATGTACCTTCACATATTCTCTCTGCAACATGAATTTAATAATATCTGTTATTGATTCTTTAATATCAGCAGGAAGATTCTGGAAAAGAAAGAGATGCATAAATAATTCTGTAATCTACTAAGTATAGTACAAAACAGACTGCATTTATTCTACATCTATGAATTTTTTAAAAGTCGGTTAATGAATCTGAGACACCTCACCCTTTTACGCAGCTTTCTGAAAAGTGGTCTGAGATAGGACTCGGTCTGTTTTTGAGTAGCACTGTTCAATTTACCCTGTACACTGCGTTTCACATAATCTTCTCTGGCATTCAATTCTTTAGCCCAAACTCCAAGAAGAAACTGTTGAAAGAATAAGTAAATTTAGACTACAATGCCACCCAGTGGTTCAGTAAATTTAAAAGCTCTCTAACACAAAAAAGTAGCCTTCTTTCATCCTTAAAGAAAATGTCTTGATTGGCTAAAGTATCATCAAATAATATATTTAACTAATGAACTATTTCTGCTTATTTTGTCATATTTTGAAACAGTGCCTTGGGAAAGTTACAAACTTACTCCTAGCTCAAGATAATCCATTTTCTAAAAAAAAAAAAAAAAAAAAAAAAAAAAAAATCAAATCTCACTGTTAACTATTTGATTGAAACAGTTTTTACTTGTATCTCTTACATACTCATAAAATTCAACCAATCTAGATTTATCATCAATAACAGCACACACTGTGACATTTAATCAGTATTCCAAGTATGTTATAGTATTTGAATTTTTCTACTTTTTCAGTAGAGACCACAATTCAATTAAAAATTCTCACCAAGGCACAAGACTAAAAGGGAAGAACAAAAAGGGAAAACAATAAAACAAAGTACAATCTCTTAAAAACTACCCTAGTGTTCATAGGTACAACCTCATACAAAGCACTCTTTCCAGAGGGAGATAACAGTGAAAGCTGAGGAGGACTTACTCCTCTTCTACATAAGGAAAGGCCATGCTTCTAACAGGAAAGCTCGTATTTGTTCACATGTTGTATCAAGTTCCATGCCACAGCCTCTGCACCTTTTCCAAATATGATGACTATTATGCTGTATTTAAATTTTAAGGAAAAGGAGGGCCAGCACTATGGCTTAGTGGGCTGGGCTTCCACCTGCAGTGCCAGTTCTATATGGGCATCGGTTCAAGTCCCAGCTGCTCCACTTCAAATCCAGCTCCCTGCTGATGGCCTGGGAAAGCAGTGGAAGATGTCCCAAATGCTTGAACCCCTAAACCTTTTTTAAAATATATATATATATAAAAGATTTATTTTATTTATTTGAAAGAGTTACTAAGAGAGGTAGAGACAGAGAGAGAGGTCTTCCATCTGCTGGTTCACTCCCCAGATGGCCGCAATGGCTGGAGCTGAGCCGATCCGAAGTCAGGAGCTTCTTCCAAGTCTCCCACATGGGTGCAGGGGCCCAAACACTTGGGCCATTTTCCACTGCTATCCCAGGCCATAGCAGAGAGCTGGACTGGAAGTGGAGCAGCCAGAATTAGAACCAGCACCCATATAGGATGCTGGTGCTTCAGGCCAGGGCTTTAACCCACTGAGCCACAGCGCCGGCCCCTGGACCACTAAACATACCTGGGAGATCCAGAAGCTCCTGGCTCCTGATCGGCCCAGGTCTGGCCATTGTAGCCATTTGGGGAGTGAACCAGCAGAGGGAAGACCGACCAACTGACCGACCTTCCTTCCCTCCTTCCTTCCTTCCTTCCTTCCTCTCTCTCTCTCTCTCTCCCTCCCTCCCTCCCTCCCTCTCTGTCTGTAACCCTCTCAGACAAATAAATAAAATCTTTAAAAAAAATTGTAAGGAAAAGAAAATGTATTTTCTGCATTTCAATCTCCTGTTCTAGACAAAAACAAATTTGTGAATCAACTTTAAAACTGAATCTGGGATTTGCCCACACTCTATTTAGATCACTAAAGAGAGAAATGTCGAGAAGAGACTCGGAATCAGCAAAACAGGCAACAGTTCGTAGAACTAAAGTCTATGGAAAAGTAAGCACACATTGTCATTCAACAGTCACTACATCCAAGTACACAGCAGTATCATGAACACAGTGCAGGTGCAAGAAACGCTTCCTCTGTAAACACTGCGGTGTAGGAGATCGTCAGTATCCAAACTGTCCTTCCCTGCCCCCGCCTCAGATACACACCTTCAGGAATTTGGTGATGATATCCATGTCCTTATGATCATCGCCTTTCCCTAAAGACTCCCCTAGTGCCTGAAGAAAAACAAACAGTGATGCTCTCCATTAGTACAGAACAAGAACATCTGGGTTCTAATGGCTTTGTTACACATATTGCATGATGTTTCCAGGTACATGTGGGGGAAAAAAAAACCACTGATTTGCCATTTAAACTTATGAATCCAAAGACAGAGTAGGTAAGGAGTGACTATTAATAGCTACAAGATATCCCTGGGGGAGAACAAAATGTTCTAAAATTAGGTTGTGATGATGCCTACACCATTTTGTGAAAATTCTAAAAATTACTGAATTATATACTTTAAAAGGGTAAATCAAATAGTATGCTAATATATCAAAAAAAGCTGCTTAAGAAAAAAGACAACTGGTAGCCAATGACAATTCTTTCAGTAAAATTTAAGGATCATCAATAGGTGTCAGGAGAGGAAAAGGATTAAAATGACCAGAACCGTGGTGCAGCAGGTTAGGTCACCATCTGCAAAGTTCTGGCATCCCATATAGGTGCCAGTTTACCTTCTGCTGCTCCACTTCCAATCTAGCTCCCTGTTAATACAGCTGGGAAAGCAATGGCCCTTGTATCCATGTAGGAGACCCAGATGAAGCTCCTGGCTCCTGACATAGGCCTGGCCTAATCCTGGCCATTGTGGCCATTTGGGGAGTGAACCAGCAGATGGAAGATTGATCTCTCTCTCTCTCTCTCTCTGTAATTCTTACTTGCAAATAAAATAATAATAAAAAAATTCCATGGTTGATTTAAGAAAAAGAAAATAAGAGTTATTAAAAACTGTAAATGAAGCTATAGCTTTTTCCCATGTGCTAGATGCGTTCATGATACCACATTACTTTTTTAGTTAAGATCAAATCAATCATCCCACATTCAACATAAGGACAAACATTAGAAAACAAGATATTGCCATGTGTTGGTAGAGATGCAAGGGTATCTTCCCACAGTGCTGGAGTGGGTATAGACTGAGTCATTTCAGAGAGCTACTTGGCAGTACATAGATAAGCTAAACATAGATAAATTCCACAACTCTGCCTGCTTAATCAACAGTGGTTACATACAAAATGCTACATCACAAAGCTGAGTTAACAGGGAGCTAGGACAATCTAGCTGCCCATCATTACAGGATAATAAAAAGTAAAACGCAGCTAATGACCTATGTATGGAATATTATATAGCAATTAAAAAGAAACAATTAAATGTACATAAAGCATCCAAGATGAATCTTAAAAAAATAGTACTATGAGGAAAAAAGGTAAATAAAAAGTAAAGAATTTCACAGTGCATTATTTACATAAGTCAAAAATACATGCATGGGGACAGTGCAGTGGCACAGCAGGCAAAGCTGCCGTCTGCAGTACTGGCATCCCATATGAGTGCCAGTTCCAGTCCCGGCTGCTCCACTTCCAATCTAGCTCTATGCTATGGCCTGGAAAGGCAGTGGAAGATGGCCCAAGTGCTCGGACCCCTGCACTTGTGTGGGAGACCTGGAAGAAGCTTCTGGCACCTGACTTAGGATCGGCTCAGCTCCGGCCACTGTGGCCATCTGGGGAGTAAACCAGCAGATGAAAGACCTCTCTTTCTCTCTCTCTCTCTGCCTCTCTGTAACTCTGCCTTTCAAATAAATAAATAAATAAATAAATCTTTAAAAAAATACATGCACATCAAAAAACTGTAGGCTTGTTGAGAATGCCACCAAATAAAATGGTCATCAAACATATTAGCATGAAGAAACACAGGAAGAGGCCGGCGCCGCGGCTCACTAGGCTAATCCTCCGCCTTGCGGCGCCAGCACACCAGGTTCTAGTCCCGGTCGAGGCGCCAGATTCTGTCCCGGTTGCCCCTCTTCCAGGCCAGCTCTCTGCTGTGGCCAGGGAGTGCAGTGGAGGATGGCCCAAGTCCTTGGGCCCTGCACCCCATGGGAGACCAGGAGAAGCACCTGGCTCCTGCCTTCAGATCAGCGCAGTGCGCCGGCCATGGCGGCCATTGGAGGGTGAACCAACGGCAAAGGAAGACCTTTCTCTCTGTCTTTCTCTCTCTCACTGTCCACTCTGCCTGTTAAAAAAAAAAAAAAAAAAAGAAACACAGGAAGAAGAAAACATTAGTAGAGAATGAGAGAGGGTAATAAATAAATACAAGTATGAAATAACAGAAGGGCCTTTGCACTGCCCACAGAGAATGGTCTGCCCTGCAGGGAAAACTCATAAATGCAGCCATCTGCTCCAGATGAAAAAGGAGTGAGGAATGTCCGAGTTGGGTACATGGAATACCTCTAACTCTTCAATTGTGGTGTTTTCTTCATGAACTTTCAAGTCATTCTGTGTGTCTTCCTCTCCAGGTTCCTGACCACCCACAATTTCATTGAGGTACTGCTGATCAATCTTATCTAAAGCTGCTTTCAGATCATTCCTCAAGCCCTAAGAAAGGTGAAAAAGGAAGTACACATATTATGAAATATGAGGTCTCACCTTTGACTTTTCACTAATAAGTACAATTCATTTTTTTTCTTCACAGGGAATTAAGAACTTAACAAAACCAGGGATTCAAGTAAGATACTGATTCATTATACTCTAATACTATCATCAACATCACTGTCCAAAGCTAATTTTTTTTTAACTTTTAATTAATGAACATAAATTTCCAAAGTACAGCTTATGGATTACAATAGCTTCCCCCTCCAAAACTTCCCTCCCACCCGCAACCCTGCCCTTTCCCTCTTCCTCTCCCCTTCCACTCACATCAAGATTCATTTTCAATTCTCTTTATATACAGAAGATCAGTTTAGCATATATTAAGTAAAGATTTCAACAGTTTGCACCCACATAGAAACACAAAGTGAAAAATACTGTTTGAGTATTAAATAGCATTAAATCACAATGTATAGCACATTAAGGACAGAGATCCTACATGAGGAGTAAGTGCACAGTGACTCCTGTTGTTGACTTAACAAATTGACACTCTTGTTTATGGCATCAGTAATCACCCTAGGCTCTTGTCATGAGTTGCCAAGGCTATGGAAGCCTTTTGAGTTCACCGACTCTTATCATATTTAGACAAGGTCGTAGTCAAAGTGGAAGTTCTCTCCTCCCTTCAGAGAAAGGTACCTCCTTCTTTGATGACCTGTTCTTTCCACTGGGATCTCACTTGCCGAGATCTTTTATTTAGGTCTTTTTTTTTTTTTTTCACCAGAGTGTCTTGGCTTTACATGCCTGAAATACTCTCATGGGCTTTTCAGCCATATCCTCGTGCCTTAAGGCTCGATTCTGAGGCCAGAGTGCAAAGCTAATTTTTGTCTACATGTTTAAATTAAAAGAATCCATATACAATGGCCAGAAAAACATGACATGACAAAGCCAACAAATTTTAAGAATTTGCATAAATGTTGTAGCTTTTTTTTAAGTTTTCATTTTTTAAAAAATATATATTTATTTGAGAGGCAGAGAAACAGACAGCAAGCTCTCATCAGCTGGTTCCCTCCCCTAATACTAGCAACAACCCCATATTGGGCCAGGGTAGGCTAGGGGCTGATACTAGAACTGGGAACTCAAACCATGTCTCACCTGTGGGTGGCAGGAACCCAATCACTTGAACCACCATCACTGCCTCTCAGAGTCTGCAATAGAAGCAAGCTAGAGCCAGCACTGTGGCGTAGTGAGTAAAGCTGCTGCCTATAGTGCTGGCATCCCATATAGGCACCAGTTCGAGTCCCAGCTGCCCCACATCTGATCCAGCTCTCTGCTACGGCCTGGGAAAGCAGTGGAAGATGGCCCAAGTCCTTGGGCCCCTGCACCTGTGTGGGAGACCCAGAAGAACCTCCTGGCTCCTGCGGCCAATTGGGGAGTGAACCAGCAGATGTAAGACACCTCTCTCTCTCTCCCTCCTCCCCCGCCCCCGCCTCTCCTTCTGTGTGTAATTCTGACTTTCAAATAAATACATAAATCTTTAAGAAAAAAAAAAAAGAAGCAAGCTAGAGTCTGAAGCATGAGCCAAGTATCAAACCCAGGTACTCCTGTGTGGGATACACATGTCTTAACTGCCAGGCTAAATACCCACAAGATGCTGAGTAAGTAGGTCTCCATTAGAGTTCCCAACCCATTCCCCCAACTACCTTAAAATGGTTAACCTCATTTTAATTACTCTGAACTCCCCAAGGCTGATATCTCATCTACATTCCAGGGGTCCCAACTATGTAGTAAAAACAAACAACTTTCACATATTAATGTACATCCATTTTGACCATAAAAAAAAAAAAGGAAGACTCAGTTTCCTAAACATGAATGGAAATCAGTTCTAAGGTTTACGAGCTACAGAAACATGGCTGTGAAAGGAGTACAGTGCAGTGGCTGACAAGAAAGGCTACCTAGGCTCAAATCCTTGCCACTTACTAGCTCTTAAACAGATTACTGATTTAAGCCCTGTATACTGCAACTGCTAACCTGTAAAATGGGAACAATACCACTGTCATGAGAATTATTTTTTAATTTTACATTTCAGTTACTATGTGCTAAGACTTTTCCAAAAGTCTTATAAATATCAGGTAATTTAAATGAATAAATGCATTGTACATTTTGAATACCTGCTCAAGTATAGTAAGCATTCAACTTTGTAAACTCTTATTAGAAGCATCTGGCCCTCTAATAAAAATACAGTCCTTTAACAAACACAGAACAGAAACTGTCAACTCGAAACAATTTTAACTTGCCAAACATTGTCTGAGTACCTGCTATATATAAAGTATAATGTCAGGTGTTCCCAAAGGTTATCTCACTTATTTCTCACAACATCCCAGTGAGCCAGATAATACTGCCTTTATCATCCAAATGATAATTCCACAGCCCAGTGCTGTGGCTAGTAGGCTAAATCTCTGCCTGCCGCGCCAGCATCCCATATGGGCGCTGGTTCGAGTCCCAGCTGCTCCTCTTCCAATTCAGCTCTCAGTTATTGCCTGAGAAAGTAGCAGAAGATGGCCCAAGTGCTTGGGTCCCAGCACCCATGTGATAGAGACAAAGAAGAAGCTCCAGGCTCCCGGCTTTAGAGCTCAGCTCCAGCTGTTGCAGCCACTTGGGGACTGAACCAGTAAATATAAGACCTTTTTCTTTTTCTCTCTGTAACTCCACCTCTCAAATAAATAAATAAATCTATTTTAAAAAACTATTAAAAAACAACAATGACAACCAAAAATGAGTATTCCAAGGCTCAAGATTAAAACATTTGCCAATGGTCACAGGATATAAATTCATATTATATTCCAGGAATAGAAGACAGATCTTTTGTTTCTGTGCTCCAACCTCAAAACCTCTGTGTGCAAACCAAACAGTCCTTGCTTACAAGGAAGAAATAAATATGCATATAACTCCAATATCAGTGAAATACAGTAATCGCACAAACAAGAATTTATTATAGGAACATGAAGAAGGAGGCCACTGATTCTGACTTCAATTTCATTGAAGGCACATAAGACAAACACAGCGTGCATAGGAAAAATGTTCATCATTGACTCTGAGTCTGAAAGCATTCAGGCAACTGTTACCACTGTGGGGCCGGAAGGAAATGCAGAGAAGTGAAGCAGAAAAGTGGTTTAGCATCAACTAATGACAGCAGTGGTAAGTCCAACCTAGAAAACAGAGCACATGGAAAGAAGAGCAGTGCCTGGCCAAATGCTCCAACAGAGATGCCAGGCATAGAAGGCACAGAAGGGACCATCTTAGAAGACCAGTCCAGAGGGGTTTTCAATCACTGCCTTCTACTAACTGCAATCACATTAAAGACCCCAAGCAAGAAACTGTCCAGTTTAGCTCAATCGAACCACATAACTGTGAGAGATCATAATAAACTGTCTGAAGTTACCAGATTTCAGAGCAATTTATTATAGTCACAGATAAGCAAAAAACATTTTACAATGATTATTTTATATTACTAAGTTTTGAGTGGCCTATTACAGGCCATAGATAATCACATCTGTTTCTCAATAACTGATAAAGTAGGTAAAAAGTTAAGGCCAGAGAAGATCTGAACATTGCTGTAATCAATATTTACAGATTTGCAAAATCAAAGAAAAACTCTTTTCCAGAGCCGTTGGATAGGTCATATGCTCACCAGGTAAAACAAGATCAGAGGCTTTAGTATTAACAATGAAGATCATTAAGTTTCTACAAGAAAACAAAATATCTCTTTGGGACTTTGGGAAAAGATCGGTAGAACAAAACACAAAAAGAACTGTAAAAGGAAAAAGTAATAAATTGGACTTCATCAAAATTTTTAACTTCTGCTGAGCGAAATATTCCAATAGGAAAACAAATAAAGCCACAGAATAGGAGATATAGTCAACAAAACATACCAGTATATCTAAGAACTTAAATCCAGTATATAAAGAACTCCTAAATTCATTAAAAGAAAAACTATCTAGTTAAAAAATAAAACAAGCCGGCGCCGCGGCTCATTAGGCTAATCCTCCGCCTAGCGGCGCCGGCACACCGGGTTCTAGTCCCGGTCGGGGCGCCGGATTCTGTCCCGGTTGCCCCTCTTCCAGGCCAGCCCTCTGCTGTGGCCAGGGAGTGCAGTGGAGGATGGCCCAGGTGCTTGGGCCCTGCACCCCATGGGAGACCAGGAAAAGCACCTGGCTCCTGGCTCCTGCCATCGGATCAGCGCGGTGTGCCGGCCGCAGCGCGCTGGCCGCGGCGGCCATTGGAGGGTGAACCAACGGCAAAGGAAGACCTTTCTCTCTGTCTCTCTCTCTCACTGTCCACTCTGCCTGTCAAAAAAAAAAAAATAAAATAAAAAAAAAAAAAATAAAATAAAACAGACATTGTACAACCAAAGTCTATGAAAAGGTATATATAAAAATGCTCCTCCTCTTTAGCCATAAGAAAAGTGTAAAAAAACTGACAATGAGCTATCACAAGACATACAAGAGAATGGGTGAAATTAAAATAGCTAATACAAAATGCTGGAGTTTTTCAAGATGGCAGCATAGGGAGGGAGCTTACTGATCTAGTCTAGGGGAAGATAGTTTTAAAAAAGTGGACAGAGGGGCTGGCACTGTGGCACAGAAGGTTAATCCTCTGCCTGTGGTGCCAGCATCTCACATGGGCGCCGGTCTGAGTCCCGGCTGCTCCTCTTCCATCCATCTCTCTGCTGTGGCCTGGGAAAGCATTGGAAGATGGCCCAAGTCCTTGGGCCCCTGCACCTAATATGGGAGAGCAAGAAGAAGCTCCTAGCTCCTGGCTTCATTGAGGCCATTTGGAGAGTGAACCAATGGACGGAAGACCTTTCTCTCTGAACCTCTCACTGTCTTTAGCTCTCTCTCTCAAATAGATAGATAAAATCTTTAAAAAAAAAAAAAAAGTGGACAGAGTGCAGTCTCAGGGAACGGTCAGGGAGAAAACGGCAGAGAAATCTCCATACAAACTGGGGTACACTGTAGACCTACATGGAGGGTGTGGACATGCATAGCTCAGGACCCCAGCAGCCGAGAGCCTCAGCACCAGCTTTGGAGTGAGGTGAGAGCAGACTGCAGCAACCCAAGCCACTGGCAATAAAGCTGTGGGAAGAGCCTGGTATGGGCCGAGCTTCGAGCCCTATGAGGGGACAGTGTACTTGCCAACCTAGAGGGAAAGGGGGCGGGGCACGTTTCTCTCTCCCCAAACACCTGGCACTGGCGACCTATAACTAGCTGAGAGAGGGTGGGTGCCATTTTGGACATACATAACAACTGTGCTAGCTCATGTCTGTGTGCCCAACAACCAGCCAAGAGGAGACACCTGAGTGGCTGGGAGAATTGACAGGGGGCTTGGGTGCTCATAACTGTGGGAGCCTTGTGTGCTGGGACTGTGAAAACATTGAGTCTGCGTGGGAGGGCATAGGGTGTGGCTGGGACTTTGGGCGATCACTGTGGGCGGTTCCACATGCTCAGGGCTCCCTGATTCACTGGTGAGGGTCATTGCTGCAGGATCTGTGTTCACAGGAAGGACTGCACAGACCCTTTGTGTTGTTCTTGTGGGAGCACAGATGAAAACTGTAGCCACTGGGGCTAACAACCAGGCATTGGTCTCCTTTGAGGAGAGGAGATGGGTATGAGAATATGCCAAGAGAGCAGAACAAACCACCCCCTAATTAAAAAAATTTTTTTTTCACCACAAATACCTAATAAAAAACACAGCAATTCAAGAAACAAGGAAGAAAACATGACACCCCAAAAGAACACATTTCAATATTAAAATGTGAGGATGAAGAGACTGACGAAATACCAGAATCAGAATTCAAAGAATTGATCGTACTTACTTAGAAGTAATCAGATACAAATTCATGAAATAAAGACATCCATACATGACATGAATGAAAGTTTCCCATGAAGTTAAGATTTTAAAGAGAAATCAAAATGAAATATTGTAAATGAAGAATTCAATAGAACAAATTTAGAAAAAAAAGGTGGAAAGCCTTAAGAACAGCCTTGATGAGGCTGAAGAAAAAATATCTGAGAAGACAAATCTCTGGAAATTTTATAGTCAGATGAAAAAAAAAGAAATGAGAAAACTAGAAAACCATTTTGGAGATTTATGGGATACTATCAAACACCAGAACATAGGGTTCTTGGGAGTTCCTGAAGGTGTGGAAAGAGAGAATGGATTAGAAGGCCTTTATAGAGAAATAACTACAGAAATGTTCCCTAATTTGGAGAAAAACAAGGGACGTCCAAGTACAGGAAGCACATAGACATGACCAGAAAAGATCTTTACCACAACACACTGTTAGTCACAATCTCCACAGTAAAACATAAAGAAAAGACTCTAAAATGTGCACAAGAGAAACACCAGATTACATTAAGGATCTCCAATTAGCACCCCAGCGGACTTCTCATCAGAAACCCTACAGGCTAGGGACCGGCGCCGTGGCTCACTTGGTTGATCCTCTGCCTGTGGCACTGACATCCCATATGGGCATCAGGTTCTAGTCTCAGTTGCTCCTCTTCCAGTCCAGCTCTCTGCTGTGGCCTGGGAAGGCAGTGGAGGATGGCCCAGTGGCTTGGGCCCCTGCACCCACATGGGAAACCAGGAGGAAGCACCTGGCTCCTGGCTTTGGATCGGCATAGCTCTGGCCATAGTAGCCATTTGGGGCGTGAACCAATGGAAAGGGAGACCTTTCTCTCTGTCTCTCTCTCTAACTCTGTCAAATAAAAAAAAAAAAAAAAAAGAAAGAAAAAGAAAGAAAAGAAAAAACCCCTACAGGCTAGGAGAGAATGGCAAGCTACATTTCAAGTCATAAGAGAAAAAAACTGTCAACCCAGAATACTGTACCCAGCAAAGCTCTCATTTATGAATGAAGGTAAACTAAAGACCTTTCATAACAAACAGAAATTCAAAGAATCTGTCACCACTCATCCAGCCTTATAAAGGATGTTTAAGGATACGCTACACACAGACAGACACATAGAAAGATGGTAATCACTATAAAAGAAGGTGAAGGCAGAAAATCTCCCAATAAAAACACAAAGGAAATCCAAAGTAAACAATAGGAATATTTATGGAAAAATGGTAGGGAAAAGTCATTACTTAGCAATAGTCACCTTGAATGTAAATGGCCTCAACTCTCCAGTTAAGACTAGCTGAATGGATTGGAAAAAAAAAATCTATTTGCTGTCTACAAGAAACATGTTTCAGCAACAAATAAACATGCAGGCTGAAAGTAAAAGGATGGAAAAAGATACTCCATGCAAACAGAAACCAAAAAAGAGCTGGTGTAGCCATCCTAATATCAGGACCAAATACACTTTAACACAAAAACTGTTAAAAGAGACAAAGAAGGGCACTATGTAATGATTAAGGGATCATTTCAACAGGAAGATGTAACTATTATAAATGTATATGCACCTAATTACAGGGCACCTGGCTATTTAAAAGAAATGTTAAGGGATCTAAAGAGAAAAAAAAATTCAAAAACAATAGTAATCAGGGACTTCAATAACCCAATTTCAGGAATGGACAAATCAACCACAGAGAAAATCAGCAAGGTAAAAACACAGAGTTAATCAACACTACAGGCCAAACAGACCTAACATATTTACAGAATTTTTCATCCTACAGATACAGAATGCACATTCTTTTCACCAAAGCATTGAATTTGCTCTAGGATAGACCCCATACAAGGCCATAAAGCAAGTCTCAGCAAATTCAAAAGAATCAAAATCATACCTTGCATCTTCTCTGACCACAACAGAATAAAGCTAGAACTCAACAACTCAAGAAACTCTAGAACATATGTAAATACATGGAGACTGAACAACATGCTCCTGAATGAACAGTGGGTCACTGAAGAAATTACAAGAGAAATAAAAAAATTTGGGGAAGCAAATGAGGAAGACAATACAACATATCAAAACTTATGGGGCGGGCCGGCGCCGCGGCTCAATAGGCTAATCCTCCACCTAGCGGCACCAGCACACCGGGTTCTAGTCCCGGTCGGGGCGCCAGATTCTGTCCCGGTTGCCCCTCTTCCAGGCCAGCTCTCTGCTGTGGCCAGGGAGTGCAGTGGAGGATGGCCCAAGTGCTTGGGCCCTGCACCCGCATGGGAGACCAGGAGAAGCACCTGGCTCCTGGCTCCTGCCTTCGGATCAGCGCTGTGCACCAGCCGCAGCGCGCCCGCTGCAGCGGCCATTGGAGGGTGAACCAATGGCAAAGGAAGACCTTTCTCTCTGTCTCTCTCTCTCTCTGTCCACTCTGCCTGTCGGGAAAAAAAAAAAAAAAAACCGTATGGGGCAAGCACTGTGGCACAGTGAGTTAATCCTCTGCCTGCGGCACTGGCATCCCATATGGGTACTGGTTCAGCATATAAAAGAGTTATCTGTACTCTCATGTTTATTACAGCTCAATTCACAACAGCTAAGATATGGAATCAACCCAAATGCCCATCAACTGAAGACTAGATAAAGAAATTATGGGATATGTACACCATGGAATACTACAAAGACGTAAAACAAAAAAATGAAATCCTATCATTTGCAACAAAATGGACAAAACTGGAAAACATCACACTTAGTGAAATAATCCAGTCTCAAAAGAACAAACACAGTATATTCTCCCTGATTTGTGGTAACAGAGCACCTAAAAGGTAATCTACGGAAGTCAAATTAACACTTTGACATGCAATGACTCAGAAAAGCCCTTGTCTCAACTGTTGAGGAACAGGTTTTTTTGTTTCATATTATTTGTGGAACTGTTTACTTAGTATAAAGTCAAATCATATGTGTATGCAGTTAATTGACAACAGATCTTAGCAAAAAATAAGAATGGGAATAGGAGAGGGAGGAGGAAGAGTTGTGGGAGTATGGGTGGGAAGGCAGGTATGATAGGAAGAATCACAATATTCCTAAAGTTGTATTTATGAAAAAAAAATAGTCATACATTCAAAAAAAAAGAAAAAAGAATGATACTTAGAAATATTCGTCACTTCTTCTAATGTAAAGTACATGTCTACATTTGTTATTCAGCAATTCCATTTCTAAGTATTTACCCAAAAAAAGTAACATTGGTTGATGAAAAAAGATTTCAGTAACAACGTTCATAGCAATTTTACTCATAGTAGACCAAAGATGAAAAAAAAAATAGTACACAATTGCGTATCACTAGGCAATGACAAGCAAACCGGTGATATCTACCATGGATGAATCTAGAAAGTGTTATGTTGAGCCCAGAAGCCAGATATGTGTTCTGAGTCTACGCACATGAAATACTGAAACAAACAAAATTAACCTCTGCGGATAGTCCATAAAGCTGGTTGTCCAGGAGTGGAGGGGGAAGCATGTGGGAATTGGTTGAGAAGAGGAATGAAAATGTTCTGTGTCTAATGGGTGGTGGTTATATGTTTGTATGTATCTGTCAAAATGTATGCTTAAAATATAACTTTCTAAGATCACAGAAAATGTACCTTCAGCAGCAGAAATAGGCCAACTGTATATTTCCATTTTTGTTTGTAATAATTAGGCAAGCTCCATACTATTCTAGTTTGTGTGGTAGTGGAATTTTTCTAGCTTGATCTGAATTTTACCTTGTTAACTTCAGGTGTGAGGATCTCTATTTTCCTTAAACGCTGAAAAGCATCATAATCAGTTTCTCCAAAAAGTCTAATTGGTTCTCCTCTTTCTCGCAATCTTCTGATAACCTATAAAGAGAAACAAATGCCAAGTAAATTATTTAGCTTTTGGATGATGAAAAAACTAAACACTTCATAACAATCTGAATATTTCACCTTAAAATAAAATCTGGACTTAATAAAGATAATTTATTTATCCAAACACATGTTTCTGAGTGAAATATAAAACCTCTCCAATATTTTAATCAATTAAATTATACTAAAGAAAGATATCTATGAATAAAAGAGAATAATCCAGTCCTTTGGTTAAAATCCTATTTCAACTCAAATGTCACTGCTATAAATTTTATTAACAAATAGCTCCCAGAAAATGGTTGGATCTATAAATCTACAATTCAAATCTAAACCAAGCCCTATACAAATCATCCTTTTTAAGACACGCACGCGCGCACACACACACACACACACACTCCCTCTCTCTCTCTTTTTTTGGGTAAGAATCTAAGGAAAGGAATACACTTTTGCTTCTCATAAAATAACAGAAGACATGGGGCTGGTGCTGTGGCGCAGCCGATTAAAGCCCTGGACTGAAGCACCAGCATCTCATAAGGGCGCCAATTTGAGACCTGGTTACTCCACTTCTGATCCAACTCTCTGCTATGGCCTGGGAAAGCAGTGGAAGATGGCCCCTGCACCCATGTGGAAGACCAGGAAGAAGTTCCTGGCTCCTGGCTTCAGATCAGCGCAGCATTTTTTGCAGGGCTTTATGAGTGGCGACAAATTCTTTCAATTTCTGTTTGCTATGAAAGGTCTTTATTTCACCTTCATTCACAAATGAGAGCTTTGCAGGATATAATATTCTGGGCTGGCAGTTTTTTTCTCTTAGTACTTGGGCTATATCTTGCCATTCCCTCCTAGCCTGTAGGGTTTCTGATGAGAAGTCTGCTGTGAGTCTTAATTGGAGATCCTCTGACAGTACTCTGACGTTTCTCTCTTGCACATTTTAGAATCTTTTCTTTATGTTTCACCGTGGTGAGTTTGATTACAACGTGTTGTGGTGAGGATCTCTTTTGGTCATGTTTATTAGGGGTTCTATGAGCTTCTCGTACTAGTACTAGGATGTCTCTGTCCTCCTCCAAACCCGGGAAGTTCTCTGCTAGTATTTCACTAAAAAGGCTTCTAATCCTTTCTCTCACTCCATGCCTTCAGGAACTCCTAGAACTCGAATGTTGGATTTTTTAATAGTATCCTGTAGATTACCAACAATATTTTTTAGATTTCTAATTTCTTCTTCTTTTCTTTGGTTTGACTGTACACTTTCCTGTGCTCTGTCTTTTAAGTCCGATATTCTCTCTTCTGCTTCACTGACTCTGTTTTTAAGGCTCTCTAATGCGTTTGTCATTTGATCTATTGAATTCTTCATTTCATTTTGATTTCTCTTCACGATCACAATTTCATGTTCTACTAGTTTCTGCATTTCATTTTGAGAATCTTCATTTTTTAAAAGAAAAGTTTAGGAAGATATCCTCTAAAAAAGCAATACAACACTACCAAGAAAAGAAGCAGAGATTAATTTAGAACCTCATAAAGAAAACTAGCTAACTGCAAAGTCTTTGTTAGGACAGGAAGTCACCTGAAACCAGACATAACAGCATCTAACTTACTGGAAAGAAATGGAAACAAACACAAGCACCTTGGAGATTTATTTTTTTCCTGAAACATTCGCATTTAAACTTACCTCTTGCCTAGAAAGAGTCATCGGTAATTTTTCCTCTGCCAGCTCAAGTTCTAATACTGGATTTGACGAAGTTAATGGTTTCTGGTCCTCCTCCTTTGGCTGTATCTGTATTAGTAGCCAAAAGAAATGAAATTCAGCTATTATAATACAGTTGATATTTGTCATTCTATTATCTTAGCTATTCATGAAAACTAAACATGTTTTAAATACTAAAGGTTTTCTAGCGTTCCTCTGAGTAAAGAGCGCATAGTAGGTTTACATGCTGATGGCACATCCATTTCAGGGACATCACAGGTAGAAAGCATGCACGAAGGACACAGCATTCTCACTATAAAAGAGTAACTGTAACAGTATACAACATCAAAACTTATTCGCACTATCATTTGCATTCACTTTCTCCCCAGATTCTAAAGAATTATACTTTTTTCTTAAAAACAATCAAGCTGGGGCAGGAGTTGTGCTATAATGAGATGTCACAGTGCCAGTTTCAATCCTCGATTCTGATCCAGCTCCCTGCTCTTGCGCCCGAGAGAGGGCAAATGATCGTTTAAATACTTGAGCTTCTGCCACCCACATGGAGGAAACCAGATAGAGTTGCTGGCTCATGACTTTGGCCTCAGCCGGCAGGGGCTGTTAAGGCCATTTGGAGAGTGATTCAGCAGATGGAAGATATCTCTCTGTCTCTGTCATTCTGCTTTCCATATAAATCAATAAATAAATCTTTAAAAACAAATAAAAAATCAATTTGTTTCTCCCCTTAGAAAAAATCATCTTAAAAGGTTATCTGATTATTGGATGGCTTTAAAAGGAAGACTTCTAAAGAACAGCTTTCTTCTTTGTAGTAGAAATCTGTGAAGCTTCAAGCATAGCTTCCTATTCTGCTTTTTGAAAGCTATTATTCCAAACACACAGAAGTCACTGTTGGACACACAGAAAATTCTCAATGCTATACACAACTGACCCACAAACTGAGTTGAATTTTGGAAAAAAAAATTATAATAATGGGGGCCAGTGCTGTGGTATAGTAGGCTAAGCCTCCCCCTGCAGTGGCAGTATCCCATTTGGGCTCCAGTTCATGTCCTGGCTGCTCCTGTTCTGATCTAGCTCTCTGCTAGTGGTCTGGGAAAGCAGTGGAAGATGGCCCAAGTGCTTAGTCCCTGACACCCAAGTGGGAGACTCAGAAGAAGCTCCTGGCTCCTGGCTTTGGATAGGCTCAACTCCCACCATTGTGGCCATTTGGGTAGCGAACTAGTGCACTGAAGACCTTTCTCTCTCTCTCTACCTCTACCTCTCAAATAAATAAATTCTAAAAAAAGAGAAGAAAATGAAAAACAAAACTTCTCCATACATGCCACACAAGGGACAATGGACATTCATACTCCTATGAATATGCAGGGAAAAAAATCTCTTCATGTATTTTCTCAAATCTGCTATCTATGTCACAGTTCAGCCAAACTGACTTTAGTGATTTATAAGTCCCATTTTGTGGTCTATAAAGAAACAAACAGGGGCTGGTGCTGTGGTACAGCAGGTTAGGCCACCATCTATAGTGCCAGCGTCCCATATGGGCACTGGTTTGAGTCCCAGTTGCTACACTTCTGATTCAACACCCCACTAATGCAACTGGGGAGGCAGCTGTAGATGGCCCAAGTATCTGGGTCCCTAACCCACATGGAAGACCTGGAAGAAGCTCCTAACTCCTGGCACTGGCCTGGCCCAACCCCATTTGGGGAGTGGACCAGCAGATGGAACATCTCTCTGTCTCTCCCTCTCTTTTTAACTCTTTCAAATAAATAAATAAATCTTAAAAAAAAAAAAAAAAGAAAAGAAGCAGTTTTCCCATCTCAGCACAAGACAAACCTAAAGCCAAAAGTAGGAATAAAATCAAAAGAACATTAAAAAAAAAATTAAGAAACTCACATCCAATTAAGAACAATTATATGGTGAAAATTATATAAGTACTGATCTATAGTTTATGGCTAAAGATTATATTTATCATAACTAAAGGATACTGAAAATAAACTAAACTTTTTATTATATTATCACAGGCAAATCAGCATCAAACCTTAAAAATGGTACCTAATTTCTATAAAGGGGTAATGTATACTACAGTGTCGTTACTACTGAGAAGGAAATATTAGGGGCCAGCGCCGTGGCTCACTAGGTTAATCTTCCGCTTGCAGCGCAGGCATCCCATATGGGTGCCGGGTTCTAGTCCCGGTTGCTCCTCTTCCAGTCTAGCTCTCTGCTGTGGCCTGGGAGGGCAGTGGAGGATGGCCCAAGTGCTTGGGCCCTGTACCCACATAGGAGACCAGGAAGAAGCACCTGGCTCCTGGCTTCAGATCAGCATAGCTCTGGCCGTAGCAGCCATTTGGGGGGTGAACCAACGGAAGGAAGACCTTTCTCTCTATCTCCTTCTCTCACTAACTCTGTCAAATAAAAATAAATAAATAAATAAAAAAATAAGAAGGAAATATTAAAACACATTTGTAATGTAAATCCTGTGGCCAGCATTATGGCATAGAGGGTAAAGCCACTGCCTGTGACACCATCATCCCATGTGGGTGCTAGTTTGAGTTCTGGCTGCTCCACTTCTAATCCAGCTCCCAGCTAATGTGCCTGGGAAAGCAGCAAAAGTTGGCCAGAGTTCCTCTGTCACCCATGTGGGAGATCTAGAAGGACTTCATGGCTCCTGGTTGCAGCCTGACGCAGCCTAGACTACTGTGGTCATTTGGGGAATGAACCAGTGGGTGAGGATCAATTTTCTCTATATATATCACTCTGCCTTTCAAATAAATTTTTTTAAAGACGGATGGATGGATGGATGGATGGATGGACGGACGGACGGGTGGACGGAAGGAAAAGAAGGGAAGGAAGGAAGGAAGGAAGGGAGGAAGGGAGGGAGGGAGGGAGGGAGGTAGGAAGGCAGGCGGGGAGGGGAGGGGAGGGGAGGGGAGGATGGAAAACCTGTGCTTCCTTTTTAAGCAGAGACAGTTATTTCCACAAAAACTTAGTCCTAACAGCGGTTAGAGTGGCTCTGTAGAAAAGATCTAAGAGTCAGCTGAACTCAGAGTTACAAGCAATATCTTTACTTTTTCTGCTTCAGTGCCTTCCTCTACATAAGCAAAACAGCACTTCCGTTATCACTGAAACACAACGCAAAACTGCCACCAGACTTAACTATTCTCCCACCTTATCAAAAAGTTTAAAAGGATCTAGGAATGCAATGTTAGCAGACTAAACCTATTGTAAAGTGATTATTATTCCATATCAAAACTGAATTAAACAATGCTGGGCAAGCAAAAAACAAAACAAAACAAAAAACAACCAAAAAAAAGATAACCCTTCCTTCTGAATATGGTTATTTACATAAAACATGCTAATTTCCTAAACCAGAGTATAAAAAATCAGTATCTTAACAGAAAATTATCAAAATTCAAACAGACTTTCTCCTTTTAAAAACCTATCCAGAACTTAATGTTTTTCTATAATACTCACCCTCCCCAACACTAAAAAATAAAACCGAATGCATATACATACCAGTTGCATTCCTCATGCTTCCTTCTAGAAATGCTATACCACATAAATTAACTTCCAGAACTTTCCCCCATTACATGCACAAGAGTATTACTATGCTTTGGTGTTTCACAAGTGAAAGGTTGATTTCAAATTTATGATTTGACAAAAGTATTTCAAACGAACCTCTCAACTTTGAGTTAAAAATTATTCTTTTAAAATCATTTAACTTCACTTCATAACCTTTAACCCCCTCCCAATAAAAAAACCTATTCTTATCAACTATGTAATTTCAAAGATATTTTCAGTCCTGCTTCCAAAAGACAAACTCTTTTTTTCTAAAAAATATTTCAAAATTTAATTTCTATCACTAGACTCAAAAGAGTGTTTAAAATATGATACCTTTTTACAACAAAAGTACCTAAACTATATATGGCCCTATGTTTCAGGCAGAGGTACTTAGGCCCCATAAAGAATTATCAACAATGCAAACATAAAACTTAATGGCTTAAATATTCAGGAAAAAGCAGAGGAAATACTACTACTAATAACTGTCATTGAATAAATAAGATGCTTTGAACTCTTCCAAAATAGACTTTTATTGGGAGGGGAGGAAGTGGGAGTGGTAATGAAAATAAGACAATATATCAGGTCTAGGACTTAATTTTAAAAAAATTCAAGCTTTCATCTCAAGCCATTTCATGCTGTCCACAAAAAGCCAAACCATTCCAAGCCAAAAGTCATGCATATATTTTTCCTGAATTCAAGGTTAAAAAATAAAAAGCAAAAACAAAACTCATACCTCTCCAGATGGCTTCTCATTTACAGGCTAATGTATAACATTGATAAATTGAACAGAGATCAATAATTTTGTCAATTCACAATAGCTATATAAATTTAAACTCAGAAATACACAACATAACACAAAAGTAAGGCTTCATACCTTGTAGCCACATCTTTCAAAATATGCTTCCTCCTCTTTTTTGGCAAGTTCACTACGCTTGAAATATTTTTTATTTTCCTATTAAAGAAAAAATTTAAGTTAATAATACGTCTTTATCAAAAGTTCATGCCCAACAGTCAACAAGTACCTTAAGAAACCTTTTGAAAACTTAAATGATTTTAAGAATTTGATAATTTTTGTTGTTGTTCCAGAGATGATTACATTGATTCTCCAAACACACCACTCCCCTGCACTGTGCATCTGGTGCTAATGTGGGAGAAATACTAAAATATTTTTCCTATGGTATCATCTTAATAGACTTGTCCAAAGGCAAAGAAACCTAGAGTATCTTTCAAATATTGGTGGTGTTTTAATTTCCTGATATTTGAATTCAAAGATAATTCCTACAAGTGGATTCATTATCAACCACAGAAAACAATCCTTTATTTTCTCCTAACAGAATTAATCAAACAGAAACTATAGCACACAGACCCAACACCTGAAATCCCATCAAGATACTTCCAAGAGTGTATCAAATTATTTTTTGTCATTTGGAATCTTAATATATCAAACAATTCTTAAAATAAGGTAGACACAAAATAGATTGTTTTATTTAAAAGATAGCTTAAAGTTAAACCTACTGTGGTTAAAAAGATGTTAGTTCTTTCTACAAGACATAAACAATTATCCTCACTGTGAAATCTGCAGCCTAATTTAGAAGTTGTTACTATCTGCATCTCCATCTCCTGTATATTATTCCATGGATGACTGCTCAAATACTACTCTACTTTACTAATAGTAATTATAACAGAACTTCAATATCTCCACGTATGTATTTAGCACATCAGGGTTTCAAAGCTCATTCCTCAGACAATGATTGTCAATAAATGCTAAAACCTTTAAGAGAAGGGTTTGATGGTGGAAATGCAAAGATAAGGCTGTCAACACTTGCACACACTGATGAATGTCCTAAGGTGCTTTTAGAGGTTCTACAAGGTCAAATTTAGTTAGTAATAATAATGTTACACAATCTTTTTTCATTGTGCCCATATTTGCACTGATAGCACAAAAGCAATGGTGAGAAAAACTAAAATCTGCACATAAAGACAATGGCATTGGCCAGCGCCGCGGCTCAGTAGGCTAATCCTCCACCTGCGGCGCCAGCACCCTGGGTCCTAGTCCCGGTTGGGGCGCCAGTACTGTCCCGGTTGCTCTTCTTCCAGGCCAGCTCTCTGCCATGGCCCGGGAGTGCACTGGAGGATGGCTCAGGTCCTTGGGCCCTGCACCCGCATGGGAGACCAGGAGGAAGCACCTGGCTCCTGGCTTCGGATCAGCGCAGCCCGCCGGCCGCAACACACCGGCCAGCCGTAGCGGCCACTTGGGGGTGAACCAACGGAAAAAGGAAGACCTTTCTCTCTGTCTCTAACTCTGTCAAAAAAAAAAAAAAAAAAAGACAATGACATCAAACTGCACCAGCAGTCACCACATTCTTCACCACCATGCACTTGCAGGAAAGTAAAAAGGCTCCATAATGTCCCTGACAAAGGAAACAGTTCTACATCTCAACCCCGTGAGTACAGGCCTTTTAATATTCAGTAGGATCAAGCTAAAATGAAAATGTGTAAAGCACTTCTGCTACATACTAAAGTACGACTGTTTTCTCAAAGAGAAGCACTGCGCAGTTGCTTGATTAGACTTCGCAGCTGGTAGACATTTTTTCCAAACTGAATAAAGTGATCCCGTTTCTTACAGGAAAACAGTATGATAGAATTCCAGCTTTCAAGTAAAAGCTGAAATGGTAAGAAAACTTTAATACTCTGAGCTTAAACCTCCTCCCAATAGTTCATGTCTATTCAGATGAAATCAGTGATGATATTAATTAACACTTGTGAACTTCTGATATTATCTAATGAAAAGATGTTAACATTTAGAAGATCTGTATGAGTCAGCACACCATTATATTACAAAGTCAAGATGTCACAAATCATACATAGGTAAAAAGATCTACTCAAAGAGCAAAACAGATCAATTGGTTATAGGGTATAAGTAATGCTTTGAGATGGACCAAAACCAAACTCTAACTTACCACATGTCCAGTTTTGGTGCAGTGGCAAAGAATAATATTCACAATTATCCAAAAAGTTTATTAAAAATATTTCCTTTTCCAACTACTTATGTGTGTGACAATATATTTTCTTCATATACTTAAAGAACACATATCAACAGATTAAATGGAGAAAGAGAAGAATTCAATTATTTTCTAATTTGCTAGAGACTAAAGAGATTTATAAAAATGTAAAGCAATGTTTTTCTCACTAAATTTATTTTGTTGTGAAAAACAAATATTTTTATGAAAATATCTGTTAACATCTAATAGGTTTATTATTATATTACCACATGGAACATCAACATTTTCCCATTTTTAATTTCTAATATGGTAATAATAAATACATAGTACACAAAAATAAAGTTCTTTGGGGCTATCAATATTTAAGAATGTAGGAGTAGGTTAAGTCACCACTTCAGACAACCACATCCCACATGAGAGTGCTGGTTGGAGTTCCTCTGCTTCAGACCCAGCTCCCTGCTAATGCACCCAGCAATGCAGCAGATGACAATCCAAGTACTTGGCTCCCTGTCACCCACATAGGAGACCCACAAGGAGTTCCAGGTTCCTGGCTTTGGCCTGACAAACCCTGGCTGTTGCAAATATTTGGGGAGTGAACCAATGGATGGAAGATTGGTCTCTACTCTCTGTCTTCAACATGAAAACAAATAAACAAACAAAAATTTAAGAATGTAAAAGGGTCTTGAGAACTCCAAGTTTGAGAATCACTGATGCTTAAGAATCAGCTCACTGGCTTTTTCTCCACACTTACAGCATATGCTAATACCTGAGAAATACTAGAGAAAACCAGCTGGGCCTCAATGCAGCCCATTATTTCTGGCATAGTTATTCATTCCATTTTCTCTCCAATTGTTTACACTGACTATTACACATTCTCCATTTTCTTTTTTCAAAGATTTACTTACTTATTTAAAAAGCAGAGAGAAAGGGAGAGACACAGAGGGATCTTCCACCTGATGGTTTACTTTGTAAATGACCGCAACAGCCAGGACTTGGCCGAGCTGAAGCCAAGAGTCAGGAGCTTCTTCCCACTCTCCCACACAGGTGCAGGGGCCCAAGCACTTGGGCCACCTTCCACTACTTTCCCAAGCACATTAGCAGGGAGTTGGACTGGAAGTGGAGCAGGTAGAAGTCAAATGGGCACTCATGAGGGATGTTGGCATCCTAACTAATGACTTAACCCATGGTGCCACAATGCTAGCCTCTCACATTCCCCACTTTCTCAAATCTTTTACCCCTTCATATCACTCATTTTCAACAAATGACTACACTCCCCCTACTTTAAAGAGAGAGAAATCAGATGCAACCTCTTCCAAATTCCCCCAACATGGATCCTGACCTGGATATGCACCCAATCCTTTCTCCACCTGGCAAGGGAACAGGAACGTTAACACCTGTGTAAGGCCGGTTCCTCCAACTGTATTCCAGACCTCACTTCCTCCTGACTTTCTGACAGACTTCTCATCAATTCTGTTTTTTCTTCTGCATCTTTACCTGTTCCCTGGTCTTCAAGAACACTGCTTACATCTGCTGAAGACTCACCAACCTTGAAGAAAACTTCTGTGTCCTACTCTGGGTATCATTTACAGCAGAATTACACTAAAATGGTTTCCCTACCTCATCTCCAATTCCTGACCTCTGTTTGTAGCCCTTGACATCTGGGTATCCATTCTCACTGTTCACTGAGGAATTCTCTTTAGTCAGAAATAATGCTCAAGGTGCAAATCCAAAGGAACGTCTCAGCCTGATCTCACTTTTCAATTTAACCGCTAATTTGCTCCTTCTCCAAACACTTTCTTCTGATTGTCAAACAAGTTCTGTTTCTTACTTACCCTTAAGCAAAACTTACAGGAGGTCACCGGTCTAGACTAAGCTCCTGCCTTAGGCCTAACAGACCAAATAAATACAAAGTCACTCAGGCTTAAGTTCCAATTCAAAAAGGCGAGACTAAGTTGTTTATCTGACCTTCCAAGAAACCAAGAGAGAGAGAAGAAAGCCAAATCCCTAAACAGATCAGTTCCAGCTGGCATGGTAGGGAAGTTTCTCCTGCTTCAATCTTTACAAAAAAGCAACCTGAAGTTAAACAGTAGCTTTTTATAAACTGTTGTTTCCTTGTTCCCACCTTACAAAAACCACTGTGTCCTGCTACTGCCCAGTAAGAAATCTCATTCTATTTTTTTTTTTAAAAGAATGGAGGCTGCACCATGCAAACAAAAAACAATTAGATCTAAAACTAAATCTGTTCTAATTTTGTCTTTTGACTCTGGTTTGTTAGATTTTCTAGCTCTTGTACTTTTTAACCATTTATTTCACATAAATTTCTCAAATTAGAAAATAATGCATTATCTTCCCTAATCATTTCTTCCAATGTATTCCATATCAGTTACAATCATTACTTTCTTTAGTGTTTCCATTTCAAAATTTTATGCATTTCTATCAAAGGATAATTTTTAAAACTACATCTGTGATGCTACTATTTCCATTTTTTAAGATTTATTTATTAATTTGAAAGGCAGAGTTACAGAGAGGCAGAGGCAGAGAGAGAGATCTTCCATCCACTGGTTCACTCCCCAGATGGCCACAATGGCTGGAGCTGCACCAATCCGAAGCCAGGACCAAGGAACTTCCTCCAGGTCTCCCACACGGGTGCTTTCCCAGGCAATAGCAGAGCTGAATCAAAAGTGGAGCAGCCGGGACTTAAACCAGTACCCTTATGGGATGCCAGCACTGCAGGCAGCAGCTTAACCCATTATGCCACAATGCTATTCCCCAATTTTTTTTAATTAACTTGTTTTTTCAAAAGTAATTCTTCATTAAAATTTTTTTTAAAAGTTCCCTGTTTCATTTCAAATATCATGATTGTATCCTTCATACCTGGAAACAAAAGAGCAATTCATAAAAAAAGCAACTAAAGTAGTGATTTCCAATTATAAAATATTATTTTATAAAG